TGAACAGGTTTAGATTGTATGAGATGGGATGGGATGAGAAAAGATGAGATGGGATGGGATCGGGTGGGGTTAGAATGGATGGATGGGATGAGATAAGATGAGATGGTGTAGGGTACGGTAGGGTAGCTTGGGATGGGATAGGATGAGGATGGGATAAGAAAAGGCGGGATGAGATGGAATAAAACGGGATGGTGGAACTGGATGGGACAGGTTAGGATTAATGGGATGGGATGGGATTTGACGAAATAGATGGGATGGACACCTGAGACCTCACTCCTGCCCTTGCAGATGCCAAGACGGTTATTATGGAGACCCGGTGCTGGGCTCAGGGCAGCAGTGCCGCCCTTGTCCCTGCCCTGGCTACCCCGGCACACGGCACTACCACGGGAGCGCCTGCCATGCCGACGAGGAGACCCACCACATCGTGTGCCTCTGCGCGCCCGGATACACCGGTGAGGGGCAGACGGGCACCATGCTGCAGGACCCCAGCAAGAAGGCTGAGATTCCATCAGCCACACCGCACGTCCCCACAGGGCCCCGCTGCGACCGCTGCTCCCCGGGCTACTTTGGGACGCCGGAGATGGAGGGAGGAGTGTGCCGGCCCTGCCAGTGCAACAACAACATCGACACCAGCGACCCGGGGGCCTGTGACCCGCACACAGGGCACTGCCGCCGCTGCCTGTACCACACTGCCGGGCCCCGCTGCGCCCAGTGCCAGCCCGGCTATTTCGGCAATGCCCTGCAGCGCAGCTGTCGCCGTGAGTTGGGCCGGGGGCTGTGGGCGTGCGAGGTCTTGGGGTGGCGTGAGGCTGAGCCCCCTGCCCCACATGGCTGCCCACTACCCGTAGGCTGCAGTTGTGACCCGCGGGGGACACTGTCTGCCCACTGCACCGCTGGCACCTGCAGCTGTGACCGCGCTACGGGAGCCTGCGCCTGCAGAGCCAATGTGGTGGGCAGGAGCTGCGACCGCTGTGCACCCAACTTCTGGAACCTGGGGGGGACGGAGGGCTGCCAGCCTTGTGGATGCCATGCCATGCACGCCACGCACCCCGCTTGCGACGAGGTGAGCATCCCAATATGGGTCCTGCGTCCTCCGGGGGTGAGAATGAGCGGGCTGAGCACCCTGCTCTCGCTGCAGGTCACAGGGCAGTGCCACTGCCACCTCGGCTTTGGTGGCCGTGTCTGTTCCCAGTGCCAGGAGAATCACTGGGGAGACCCCGAGCTGCAGTGCCGAGGTGAGAGCTTTACCCACAGACTGGCAGTAGGGTGTATGGGGACATGGGAACCCTGAGAAAAGAGGGGTCTTGGGGATACAGGGTGCCGTTGGGACAAAGGCTGTGCTTTGGGGTACATGGGGGCTCCTGGGAATATGGGAACCTTGGGGAAGGGGGAGTCCTGGGGACACAGGGGGTCCTGGGGACATAGGATGAGATTTTGGCTACCTGGGGATTCCTGGGAACATGGAGAGAATCCTGTGGATGTGAAGGACCTTGGGGACATAACGAGCTCATGAGGATGTGGTGGGACCCTGGTGATAGGGATGAACCATGTGCCACAGCATGATGCTGGGGACATGGGATAGGGACACAGTGAGTCTCCGGGTATGTGATGGGACCCTGGAACCACGGGTGACCCAGGAGACACAGTGCCACTCTGAGGACACAGAGGCCTCTGGAGAGTTCAGGCAGTGACAGTGCTCATCTCCACAGCCTGCGAGTGTGAGCCACTGGGTGCTGAGAGCCCGCAGTGCGACCGAGCCAGTGGGCAGTGCCAGTGCCGGCCAGGCTTTGGGGGGCTGCGCTGCGACCGCTGCCAGCGGGGCTACCAGGCCGCCTTCCCTCGCTGCTCTCCATGCCACCCCTGCTTTGGGCACTGGGATGCAGTGCTGGGCAGCCTGCAGGATGGGCTGCAGCACCTTGGGGCACGGGTACGGGCGCTGCATGAGGGAGGGTCTGCAGCCCCGCTCAGCCCCCGCCTGCGAGCACTGGAGGAGGCCCTGAAGCATGCAGAGCGGCTGCTGGGTGAGGGGAGCAGCCCCAGTAGCCCCCTCCTGCAGGAGCTGGCCGGGCAGCTGGATGGCAGCAGGCAAGTGCACACGGTGGGCTGGGGGGGCTTTAGGCATCCAGAGGTATTTGAGAGCTCTCTGCCCCATAGGACAGAGCTGGACAACTTTTGGAAGAGGCTTCAAGAGCTGGAGCAACACGTGGATCAGCTGGAGCAGGCTGATGTGCTGCACCGCAGCCGGCTGGCCAGGCTGAGCCATGAGTTGGGTGGGCTCAACCAAACCACCTCCCGCCTGCAAGCTGTCCTCGGCACCGTGACAACAGCAGGATTCAGGGGTAAGGGCATCCAGTGAGGACTTCTGGGGTATGGGGGCTGGGAGAGCCGTGCCCCAGTGCTGGATATGTAGCTGGGACTGGGAGAACTGTGCCCTAATTCTGAGTGCGTGGTAGGACTCTAGGGGTGTGGGGGGGTCCTAGGAACAGAGGGACCTTGGGAAAGTGGTGGGACTCCGAATATGGAGAGACAGTGGATACTTAGGAGATCCTGGGACATGGAAAGACACAAGGGATATGGCTGATCCTGGAGCCATAACAGGATGCTGGGGACATGGTGGGACTCGAGGGACACTCTGTACTCGCAGAGTCATACCAGAGCATCGTGGTGGCAGCACGGGACTCACGGCAGGCAGAGGTGGTGGCCAATGGCACTGCAGGTGAGCTGAGTGCAGCACGGGCCGCGCAGTGGGCAGCTGAGCAGGCCCTGCAGCAGCGGGGTGATGCGTTCCGCCGGAGCATGGCTGCACAGCGGAAATCCCTGCGGGAGACACAGAAACGGGTGTCAGGGCTCAGCGTGACTGGGATCAATGAGAAGGTGAGAGTGGGACGGGGGAAAAAGGGCTCGGGGTGATCATATCACAGGTGACACACGGGTTGCTTGGCTCTTGTGCCAATTGGGATGAGGGTCTGCCCATTCAAACTCCACCTTTTGGATCCCTGCAGATTTGTGGGGCTCCTGGAGACCGGAGCTGTGCAGAATCACTGTGTGGAGGAGCTCTGTGCCGGGACAGCGTGGGGATGAGGCACTGCGGGGGTGTGGGGTGCACAGGGGCCCTGCCCGTGTCAGCTCAAGCCCTGAGCAGTGCCCGCAATGCCTCACAGCAGCTGGAGGTGGCCCTGGGACAGCTGAGTGCTGTGACACAGAAGGTAGGGATGGCGTCCCCATGTGCTGGGTTCTCATGCGAGGCCCTTTGTGCCCACTTGAACATCACATCTGTGCCCACTCCTGGGTCAGTGACGGCCCCTTGCACATCCCAACTGTAAGCCCCTTGGTGACCCTTGGTTACACCCCAGATGCAGGAGGTTCAGGACCTGGCACGGGGTGCCCGCAGCCGTGCAGAGGAGGCGTTGGAACGCTCACAGGCTGCCCGCAGCCGCACAGAGAAAGCGACAGCACAGTTGCGGGACTTCATCCGCCGCATCAAAGCCTTCCTGTCGGGTAGGGCCAGCAGTGTGTGGGCACCAGGCATGGTGTGGGGCATGGAGCCCACCCTGAGCCCACCCCGCTCCGATGTCCTGCAGAGGAGGGTGCAGATCCAGGCAGCATCGAGCTGGTGGCACGGCAGGTGCTGAACATCTCCCTGCCCAGCAGCCCTGCACACATCCAGGAGCTGCTGCGGGAGATGCAGGAGAGCATCAGCCAGCTGGATGGGGTGGACGCGGTGCTCAACGGCACGGCACAGGGGCTGGAGGCTGCACAGGGGCTGCTGGCACAGGGACAGGATGCCAGGTGAGTGGCGACAAGCTGGATGGGGAGGGCGACAGAGCCCTGAGCAGAGCTGGAGATGTCTGCATCGCCACAGGGAGCGAGCAGAGGGCGTGAGGGACGAGCTGGCGGGGACGCAGCTTGCACTGCAGGTGGCACAGGCACAAGTGATGGCAGCTGGGAGCACCCTGCGGAGAGCCAAGGATGGCATCCGGGCTGCTGAGGGCAAAGTCAGGGAGGTGAGAGGTGATATTGGGGATGGGGACCCTAGCACACCCCTGGGCCCTGTGGGTAATGGAGTGGGCACACATGGGGAGCAAAGCCGATGCCATGGCGTGGTGCGGGCAAGCCACGGGTACCCGATGGGCACACGGTGCCCACCCGCCGCCTATGTCCTATGCACCCAGGCGGAGCGCAGGCTGCAGGCGCTGCAGGGGAAGGAGTCACGGCTGCAGCGGCGGCTGCGGGAGCTGGCACAGCGCGTCACCGCCCTGCAGCAGCGCGGACGGGACGCCCGGCGCCTGGCACAGGATGCCAAGGATGGGGCGCAGCGTGCCACCGCCGCCTCGAGGACGCTCAGCCAGGTGAGCCCCGGCCTCGCAGCAGGCGGGGGGCGATGCGGGGAGCTCGGCCTCACCGCGCCGTGTGCCCCCAGGACCTGGCGCAGGTGACTCGGCGCTACGTGGTGCTCAAGGACCGGGTGAGCGGGATGGCAGGGATGGCCGGCGGGGCCCTGCAGCGCGTGACGCGGCTGACGGCCGAGGCCAGGGACCTGCTGGATAAAGCCAACAGCAGCAAGAAGCGGCTGGAAGGTAAGAGGCGGCGTGGGACGGGGGCCGCCCGCTCGGTGCCTGCAGCCCACCCTGCACCCCGTGCCTTCCCGCAGAGCTGGAGCAGCACTTCGGGGCCAACGAGCAGGCGATGGCGGCCAAGGCGACGCGGCTGCAGGCGCTGGAGCGGCAGGTGTCGGGGCTGCTGCAGGAGATCCGCGAGCGGGCCAACGCGTACGCCACCTGCTAGGGAGTCCGACCCGCTCGGGACGCGGCCCCGCGCGGCGAGGAAGAAACCCGCGGGGTGTCTGTAGCGCCTGCAAATAAAGCGCTGAGCAGCGGCTGCCCGTGTCCGGCCTCTCACTGTCTCGCGTGGCCGAGTCCCGCGCGTCCCCCCGCGGTACCCCCGGCCTCCGGCGGGGCGGTGCTGGCCCTTCCCGGCCCGGCGTGGGCCGCCGTGCGAAGGGACCGCCCCGCGAGTTCCGCGCAGCCCCGAGCGCCGCCACAACTTTGCGGAGTGGCGGCGAGAGGGAACCCCCCCCTCGGCAACGCGCGCCTACCCACGCGAGACCGGACCCCACGCGGCGGCACCCCGAGTCCCGCGCGCCGCCGCGATGCGCGGCCCCGCAGCCTTCCTCCCCCCGCTTCTTCTCCTCCTCCTCTCCCTCCTCGTCCCGCTGCCGTCCGGTGAGTGCGCGGCCCCCGCTCGCGGAACGCTCTCGGGTTGGGGTCCGGACCCGCGGGGCATTTCCGGGCTGATCGCGGAAGGGTCCCCGCTTCGGGGCCGTGCGGGACGGGGACGGAGCTCCGCGTGGGGTCCGGCCTCATCCACCCGCTGCCCACGCAGGGCCGGGAGGGGCCGCGTGGGCCGTTTCTTCTCCCGACGCCCCCCATGGCTGCGCCCGCGGCAGCTGCTACCCGGCCACCGGGGACCTGCTGGTGGGGAGAGCCTCGCGGCTCAGCGCCTCGTCCACCTGCGGGCTGCGGCGGCCCCAACCCTACTGCATCGTCAGCCACCTCCAGGTGAGACGGGGGATGAGAGACGGGGGACGGGGACGTGGTGGGGTGGGGTGACCGTTGAGCCCCCGCCCGCAGGAGGAGAAGAAATGCTTCGTCTGTGACTCGCGGAGACCCTACGATGCCCGCAGCAATACCGACAGCCACCGCATCGAAAATGTGCTGACCACCTTTGCCCCCCGCCCCAAGAAGGCCTGGTGGCAGGCGGAGAACGGTGAGCAATAGAGCGTCCCTGGGGGGCTGCTCTTCCCGTCCTCCCACACTAAGGAAGCCGTGACTCAGCCCTGTGCTGCTGTGGCCAAGGCTGGAGTCACACGGGTGTCCCCCCCCCAGGCGTGGAGCACGTCAGCATCCAGCTGGACTTGGAGGCTGAGTTCCACTTCACCCACCTCATCATGACCTTCAAGGTGAGCGCAGCAGGATGGCACAGACCCCATCATCCCGACTGCCATCCTGCCGTGTGCCCCCACCCCTCCATGTGCCCCGCAGACCTTCCGCCCCGCAGCCATGCTGGTGGAGCGCTCGGCCGACTTTGGCCGCAGCTGGAAGACGTACCGCTACTTTGCCTATGACTGTGCTGCGTCCTTCCCCCACGTCCCCCGTGGGCCCCCGCGCCGCATTGACGATGTGATCTGTGAGTCGCGCTACTCTGACATCGAGCCCTCCACCGAGGGGGAGGTGAGGCTCCTACGGCACCGAGGGACACTTGGAGGATCCCACTGTCCCCTCACCGCTCTCCTCCTTCCTGCAGGTGATCTACCGCGTGCTGGACCCCGCCATCCCCATCCGCGACCCCTACAGCCCCGCTATCCAGGGTGAGTCGCCCGCCCGTCTGCCGCCCTGCGGCACTATTTTGGGTGCCACTATTTTGGCTGCTGTGTCCTCATGCTGAGCCCCACTGAGGGGCTGGATCTGGGAATTTCCAGACCCATACAGCGGGGTGTGGATGAATGTGGGGCAGCATAGGATGCCAAGCAATGGGAGATGGGACCATGCCAGTGCCTGGTGCAGGGGCTGTAACCCCGCAGCATGGAGCTGGTGGTGGGCAGATGAACGGCACAGGATGCAGCGGGTTAACAGCTGAGGCTAAATTTAGGCTGGGAGCAGGAGGGGAGGAATCTGCGGGGCCCGGCGGCTGCTGCTGGGAAGCTGCTGTCCCTGGAGAGCCGTCCTGCTGGCCCCATGTGCCATGCAGCACCGCCAGCACGGAGCAGTACATCCCCAGCCATGGCGCACCATGTGCGATGCGCTGCAGCTGGGCACAGTGTTCAGCAGGCACGGGTGAGCAGAGCCAAGCTGCCAACTTTCTATGCAGAGCTGCTGCGTGTGACCAACCTGCGGGTGAACCTCACCAAGCTGCACACGCTGGGGGACAACCTGCTGGACTCACGGCGGGAGATCCGCGAGAAGTACTACTATGCGCTGTATGAGATGGTGCTGCGTGGAAACTGCTTCTGCTACGGGCACGCCTCGGAGTGTGCGCCGCTCAGCGGGGCCACAGCCACTGTGAATGGCATGGTAGGTCCAGCCGTAGCACAGACCCCTGTGCTGTACTGCATTGGGGTGACCGCAGCACCCAGTCCCACAGCTCCTCACCATGGCATCCCGGCAGGTGCACGGGCGCTGTGTCTGCAAGCACCACACGCAGGGGCTGAACTGTGAGCGCTGCGAGGACTTCTACCACGAGCTGCCCTGGCGCCCGGCTGAGGGCTCCAG